GCTGGTCCCAGGAGACAGCCCAGGCCTCCAAGCATAACATCCGTCAAGATGAGTCAATGCTGGAGCGCCTTTGGGACTTAAGGGTGTTGCTGCCTAGGGGTGTGGGATGCATTATGGGGTGCAGAAGAATTGTATTTTGAGATTGCACAAGATTTATTATGGGATGTGTAGGGGAGGAACCAAAGACAGGAAAAGGGATGGGTTCAGGCAATTTGAGGAGAAGCAAGAGTGGAAAAATTAGGAACAAGGGAATAAAAAGGTCTGATCCTGTGTAAACCACTTGGTTTGAGGGGACAGGGAATGCATCTCAGTGTTAGCAACTAAAGTCGAACCATGAGTTGTAGGGACCAATTGTCCATGGTGTCAGCAACTGCATCAAGTGCAGGTCTGGATGCCAGCAGTTGGGCTGGGACCACAGGCTGGAGGGTTGGGTGCTAGCAACTGAGGAGACCTCATGGGATGAGTGAAACTAAGTGTCGGCCACTGGAGTGGAACTGACTATCCATTTATCTGTGCTGCAAGCACTGGGGCAGGGTGTGGATGAGTGAGAGACCATGTGGCTGCTAGTGAAGATCCAGTCAGATCAGCTGGTGAGTTGGTGAATAAGGTGGGAGGGTGTCTGTCTCTGAGGGCAAGACCACAAGAGGAGCTAGATGTTGGAGGCAAAAGGGAGTCCTGGCCAGTTGCTGGAGAGACTGTAGGGCTGGGGGCTTTCCATATATGTGGAAAGACATGTATGTGCCTGTGTGTACAGGCAGGAGTGCAGTGGGGTTGGGTGCTGGGGAATCGGGAGTCACAAACAACTCTGTGTGAGGGTCTGTACTACAACTGGAGTTGGACTGAGGCAGTGGCGTTCCTCTGGTTAGAGAGAAAAGTAGGATGAAGCTGTTGGTGCAGGTGCCTTGTGTGTCTGTGATCAGTGTGGCCAGCAGTGTATGTATACATGTGGTGTGTGCATGTGCCTGCTGGGAGTAGATTTTCAGCCTTGCTACTGGATGAACCTGGGCTTGGAGCTGTCAGGTCTCTTTCAATTGTCAGATCCAGCGTGATATGTCTTGTCCTAACAGAATGGTCTATATTTACATAAACTGGGAGGTCTCTGTAGTGATATAGTGTTTTAGTTGCTTTTAACTTTATCAAATGTACCTCTTCATTATCAGTTATTCATTCTTCAGTCTATCTGCTGCATCTTTCAGAAAAAAAATTAAGCTCTT